GGCAGCCAGAACAAGTCCCAGAGCAGTCATTGAAGAGAGAAGGGCTCAGCACAGTGGTCTTTTTCCCCACACACCACTCTGCTTGCTAAAAGGAGCCTCGAGACCAGGCACCAGCCACAGCTGCTCCCCAGGATGGAAACCAGCACAACTTGAGCTGTGGACAGAGTCCAACAAGTTCAGAGGTTGGCAGAGCCTGGGCCAGCTCTGCAGACTGGCCATGCCCTTCATCCAATCCATCCATCCATCCCTCCAGGCCTCGCTCCCCGCAGTGCCGTCGGCTCAGGCTGCCCAAGCAGCTCCCCACGCTCCCCAGAAAGCCAGGACAAGAAGGTGTAAGAGAAGGATAGAAATGAGTTTTTTCCAGGGAGAGACTGCAAAGCATCAGCTAAACCCAAAGCAAGGTAAGCTGGCAGCCTTGGGAGCTCACATACATCATCCTTCATGTGCTCTTTCGGGGGTCTGAACTCCTCGTGATACGAGCGGCCACTCGCTGGGTGAATCAGCCTGAGACAGAAAAGAAATGTCAGAAAAGAAGTGTCAGGAAAGCAGCTGGTCAGGACAAGATCTCCTGAACCTGCCACTCATCAGCACAGAAACATCTGCCACAGCAACACTATGAGCCTTTCACTTGTAAGAAAATTCTCTCCAGTTATTTCTGTACCAAGGGCCTCTTCAGTTTGGAAAAGCAGCTGTGCTGGGAGATGGAGAAGGGGAGTTTTACATCCTGCTCTGCTGGGAAAGGGGTCTGGAAAACAGTGCAAGAGAACACACTCTGACCCTGGAGGAAGTTTACTGGTGCCCAAATGTATTCAGTGTCCTGGGTAAGGGAGCAATAGCTTTGGAGAAGGGAGAAGTTACAGAGTGAGCTGAGATTTTCTATAGAAATCCCTGATTTACAGGGCAAGGAAGGTGCTTGGCTCAAGGCTGGCCCAGGCATAGGGCAGAAATAGAGACCAGCAGCACAGCCAGCCTTAAGCACCACGAGGACAACCTGGGATCTGAAATGAGGATGCTCTTCCATGGACTAGGAAATCCCAGGCCGTGCACTGAGCCCTGGGAGAGAAGGATTACCGTCCCGTGATCCTCCGGATCAGCAAGGAGTCAGGGATGCTGAACTCAATGACGGAGTCGAGCTTCTCCCTCCTCTTCTCCAGGAGCTCATCCAGCTGCAACAGCAAACACCCACCTCAGAGGGGCTGGGGGAGCAGGGACCCCTGGGTTTGAGGGAAGGGGTGCTGGAGCAGCCCCCGAGCAGGGGCTCCCATACCATCTCTGCCTGTTTCACTGTGCGTGGGAAGCCGTCCAGGAGGAACCCGTTCTTGCAGGGAGGGGAGTCCAGGTTGTTCTCAATCAGCTCCACCACCATCTCATCACTCACCTGCAGAGATGAGACAGGTATGCTGTCAGGAAGGACACTCTGAATTTACACACCCATCTGGACAGGGTGGGATTTTTGGAGTTGTCTTGTGCAGGGCCAAGGGTTGGGCTCAAAAATTCTTGTGCGTCTCTTTCAATTCTTGTGTGTCAGGATATTATGTGATTCCATAATTCGTGTCAATGCTCAGGCTGCCTGTTCAGGCCTGCCCACATCAGGGCAGCACTCCCTGCAACACCAGGGCATAGGCAATGCCACATTTCACTCCAGGGACACTCCAGCCTCCGCAGGGACTTGGACCAGCACTGTAACCTCACTGTTACAAAGGTTGCTGTATCGCAAGGAAGGCTGTCAGCTCAAACTCCTTAGATTATTATTTTTTTTTGAACCAATTCACAATACAAAGTATCAACATAACCTTGATTTCCTGTTACTTTGTACCTTCACCTACACATCCACGTCGGGAGGCAGGCCTGGGCAGGAAGGGCAGAGCAGGCGAGTTGCTCATTGACTCCCATAAACCTCATAAGAAGGTAAAAGCCCAAGAGTTGCTGACAAGCTCTGCCTTCACTGGGTAGTTTTTCCCCAGCTAACAATCTCAGCATACCACTGGGATTAGTGCCTTTTCCAACAATAACTGCTTCTTTGGGAGCAGCTCTCCTCAGCAGAGCTGTTTTCTCCAGCACACACAGCTGGGACCCAGCAGGATTGGGGACCAGGCTGTCACAACACACAAACAACAACCCTGCAGGCAGGGGAAGTAAGCAACAAGTCACTTCTGTGCCTTCCTGATTACACCCTTTGGAGAAAAAAGATCCTGAGCATAAAGCCCATCCTGAAATTCTGCGTGCTCCCAGCTGAGTTATCAGAGAGCTGTGGGATGTGCCTGTGGAGCAGCCTGGAGCTGCCTGCCACACACAAACACACGTGGCAGATACCACCAGCCTGGCCAGATAACGTCCCTATCTTTCATAACCAGCTGGGTATTGCAGGCTCGGTGTTGCAATGAGCTCTGAGCAGAAGTGAGATAAGGCAGCTCTCCCCATCTGGGGCCTGCAGATTCTCCCTGGGGTGTTACGAGCCCGTGGCAGCCACAGGGATGCTGAGATCTGCCCCACACTGGGGCAAGTCACTGCAATTTGTGGTCCCTTGAGTTTCCCTGAGATATTTCAGTCATTAGGATAAGATAATGAGACCCTCAGAAAATGAATGTCAGAGATTCTAACTCATATCCCTTGAGAATCCAAAGTGTCTCTCTCACACAGCAGCAGCTGTAACTACCACAGCAACACCTTTAGGTCTATTTTCACCTCACAGTTACAGGTGAATCGAGCTTATGCAAGAGCTGAGATGCAGATGAACCCTCTGAAGTGATACCTGGAGCTCAGGTATCAAGTGAAGAGACACAGGAGCCACAAAGCACAGCTGTAACATCCTGCAGCTCCAAGGATAAACTGTGACCTCAGTGTTCAGGAGCCAGAAAATTATGAGCCAGAAAATTACCAGCCAGACTGCACCCCCTAAAAGATAAAATCAACCCAGGGCCACAGGCTGCTGGTAAGCAAACAGTAATTTCGAAGAGGAATGATGTTTGTATAGGATGCTTCTCCTGCAGGGTGACAGTAGCAAAGCCCCCACCCCATCCCTACCTTCACCCTGCAATCTGCATTCGTACACTAATTAGAGAATTCTAATTAGGAGATGGATTTTGTCTGCTCTCATTCCAGAAGCCACCAGCCCGTATCCCCTCCCAGCACATTCCCCGTGACCCACCAGCTTCCCCGAATCCATCGTCTCCTTGAGCCGCTTGCCCAGCTCGGAGCCCGAGGCCACCATGGCCCGCAGCATGTCGCCGGTAGCCAGGTGGCACACGCAGTAGGTCTCGGCCAGCTTCGGGGCCTGCGGAAGAGGACAGAGGTGAGACCGGCCCTCGGAGGCTGAGGCTCCCCGGCCCGGCGGGGCCTCGTCCCCTTGTCGCGACAGCCGGACGGTCGTTGACCGGCCAGCACGTGGCAGGGCCCGGCACGGAGCCCCGGAGCTCAGCGACACCGGCTCCGGGACAAAGGGAACGGGGACAAAGAGCCCCGGCGAGCGGGCCCCTGGAGGCGGGACACGACCGAGCCCCCGCGGAAGGGAGAGCCGGGGCCCCACCAACACACCGCACACCCCGATCCCTCACGGGCACCCCAAGGCCGGACAGCCGCGTCCCTCCACGCGGGGTCACACGCTGAGCGCCGGGAGCGGGGAAAGCCGGGCGGGCCGGTCCCGCCGGCCGCTCCCGCTCGCATCGCCCTCACCTGCGTGCCCTTGCCGGCGCCGGGCGGGCCCAGCAGCACGGCGCGGATGCCGTGGCGGATCCCCGCGGCCGGGGCCTGCCCGCGGCCGCCCCCGGCCTGCGCGCTCGGAGCCATGGCCGCCGCCGACTGCGCGCCCGCCCGCGCCTCGTGGGCGGGGACAGCGCCGCTGGGCGGGGATATGCAAATTAGAGGTGGTAATATGCAAAGCACACAGCGTGTTTTACACTGTGTGGGCGGGGTTATGAGTGATAGGCGTGGTTATGTGATGTGGGCGGGGCTTTGTGGCGCCACGTGGATCGCTCGGTGTCGCCGCGCTTGCCCCGAGCTGTCCCCGAGTCCGGGCGCTGCTGGGGCTCTGGGTCACTCAAGGAGGACATTGAGGTGCTGGGATATGCCCAGAGGAGGGTGGAGCACAAGTCTGATGGGAGCGGCTGAGAGAGCTGGGGCGGCTGAACCAGGAGAAAAGGAGGTTCAGGGGTGACCTTTTCTCTCTGCATCTACCTGAAAGGAGTTTGGAGCCAGGAGGGGGTAGGGCTTGCCTCCCAGGCAGCTGGTGGCAGGGCAAGAGGACACAGTCTTAAGCTACGCAAAGGGACAAGGTTGGATATTAGGAAGAATTTCTTCACGGGAAGATTAGACATTGGAACGGGCTGCTCAGGGTAGTGGAGTCACCACCCTTGGAAGTATTTAAGGAAAGACTGGATGTGGCACTTGGTGCTGTGGGCCAGTTAACACAGTGCTGTCTGGTCAGAATTGGACTTTGTGATCCCAGGGATCTTTTCCAGCCTAATTGATCCAGTGATTCTGAGCTGTGGGATGGGCTCAGTGCCCTGCTCTGCGTGGGCTGTGCATCACAGCACTGCCCAGCGCATCCAGGAGGGGCTGGCACTGCAGGGCTCTGCATCTCTCTGTTCTCCCAGCCTCTCTGCATGGTCCCCACATCCCACACAGCACAGTCCAGCGCTGGTGATGGGCCAGAGCACAGGCAAAACCAGCCAGGATCCCACAGCAGACAAGAGCTGCCCTGGCCCTGGTTGCCAGGAGAGTCTGTGGCAAAGCCAAGACCACAGTGTTGAATACAGAAACCCAGGATAAGCTGGTCCTTCTCACTCCCCCATCAGTGGGGACAGCCACCCCTCCACAGACAGAATATTGGCTCCTTAGCAGCACATTTAACAAGAAGAGTTAAAAAATCCCTGCTGAGCCCATCCTGTTTGTGGCATGAAGCAGTGGCATCCAAGACCCGGGTCTCAGGGATCACACCGATGGATCTGCCCCTGGGGCATCGATGGATCTGCCCCTGGGGCACCCACCAAACCCAGCAGCAGCTCAGCAAGGGCAGGATCACTCCCTGCCATCTTCCCAACCACCTCCCCCTCTGCGGAGTCCCAGCCAAACTCCGCTCAGCCTTTAATCTGCAGGAAGCCTGCTTTCCCTGGCAGCAGCATTTCCCAGGTATTTCGGGCTCTCTTCGCCCCGAGGGTCCCCGTGCTCAGGATGTGGGAGGCAGGGCAGGGCTGGGGATGAGCTGCGGGGACTCGGTGAGAGCCCGGGGTGGCTGCAGGGGACAGCCCCAGCCTTGGGAGAGGGTGGGCGAGGAGGGGGAGCGTTCTCCAAAAGGGATGAAGGATGCTCAGAGGCGGCTCAGCCAATGGCGTGGCTGGATTTGGTTGTCATGGCTACGGTTGGGAGGCAGAGCAGGGAGGCAGTGCTGGGAGAGAAGGGGTGCAGGGCCCCCCCATCCTCTGCAGGGGCTCGGGGCAGGACAAACAGCCGGTTCATTCTCTTGGGAGAGCCATGGCAGAAGCTGTTTAAATGCTTTCCGAGGTAAGGAGGCTTTTTTCGGGGGGTGTGAGGGAGTGCTTTGCCTGGCACAGTGAGAAGCGAGCTGTAGAGTGCTGTGGTTGCTAATTTAGGGATGGGGGTGAAGGGCATTGTGCTGGCAGTGCCCCTCTCCTCTCTAAACCCCTGCACTGCTTCTCCCCAGAGACCCCGGACCCCCAGGCACAGCTACACCTCGGGCTGCTGCAGGAGCTCAGCCTTCCTCGGGGAGCCCCCCTGACAGCCCCTGGAGGGACAGCTGGACCGTGGTAAGGAGGGGATGTCCGAGTTGTGACAGGAGTGACCCATTTAACCCCTTCCGTGCCTGACCAGGGTGGGCTGGCTGCTGTTTGGTGATGAGGACTGAAGGGTAAAGCTGGAGGAGTTGCTCTCCTTTCCTGCTTATGAAGCTCTAAGAGCTTCAAAACATGTTTTTTCATCCCATTCCCTGTCTCTGGAATTGGCTAGTGGTGCTTGCTCAATGCATTACAACACCCTGCTGCTCGTGGTCTTTCTCCCAGTGCCCCCTGGAATGCTGTCAGGAGGTCTCTGTGGGGAGGAGGGGGTGTGCAGCTCTGAGAAATGAAACCTCTGCCTCCTGCTCACTTCAAATCAGAGAGACCACGCTCCTGGAAGAGCCCTGGAGTTAGACCTGGATTATTGGAGTGGAAATGTTCCCTGCTAGCTCATCAGCTCCCTGGGTTATATGCCAGGCTGGATCCAGGGCAGGAGATTGTTAAAGCTCAGGGTGTGAGCTCAAAGCTAAAGCTCTGCTAGGATGAGCCAGAAAACTCCGTGCTGCTTAACTGTCCCCTTGTTCCACACCCTGTGTCATGGCAGAGCCATGGAACTGCATCCACGGCAGGGATCCAGGCTGTCCTGAGGCTGGAAGGTGTCAGTGAGTGCCCTGTGCTGTGCCTCCCTTGCCCTGGGGCTTTCCACTGGGTCCAGGAGCCCTCAGCTATTTGGGATCCATCAGGGATGCTCACCCCACTGAGCACTCAGCAGATCCAGCTGCTGTTCCAGGGCATGAAGGGGCCTGTCCTGGCCTGGAAAGGCATCTCTGCTCTTTGTGGTGCAGTTGGCTTTGTTGTTGACTGTGCTGGTGCCTGCTGATGGAGACGAGGCTGCTGTGTGCCAAAACAGAGCTCTGAACTGCAGAGAAATGTGTCTCCTCCCCCAGGGAAGATGCTGTAACCCACAGCAGGGCTCTGCTGAGCTGCTGGTTTGGAGCAGAGCAGCACAGAGCTCTGCCCTGGGCTGTGGGATGGCTGGTCCATGCTGATGGAGCTTCTGGACCCTTCCTCTAAATATTCCTTTCCTTTTTACAGCGTGTCTCGCCCTTAGAATCCACCCCCTACTCCAGGAGGCTTTAAAGGGGCATCCCCACACCCAGAAGGTCTCACCATGAACGGGTACTTGAACGAATCCAATTTCCTGATGGTGGAGGAGGGCTTCACCACCAGAGACCTCCTGGAGAACCTCCTGGGCGAGCTGTGCCAAGAGGTGAGGGCTGATGCTCTGCTGCTGCTGCTGCCTTTGGAAAAGGCACTCCTGGAGCTGCTGCTCACTCCAGCTGTCTCCTAGAGCGAGCAGCAGGCCTTCTTCGTGGCAGACCTTGGGGACATTGTGAAGAAGCACCTGCGTTTCCTGAAGGCCTTGCCCCGGGTGAAGCCCTATTTCCCACTTAAATGCAACGGCAGCGAAGGGGTGATCAGGCTGCTGGCAGAGCTGGGGGCAGGATTTGCCTGTGCCAACAAGGTAGGGGCTGTGGGAGGACAGCTCCAGGGGAAATGTTTGTGGGGGAGTGGCAGAGCTCACCCTCCTTTCCTAAGGCTCTGCTCTAGGTGACACTGGCAGGGGCAGAGTGTCCCTGTGCTGTCACAGCCCAGAAATCCTTGTCCCATCTGTGTTGTGACAGGGGCAGGAGTGACATTGGCAGGGGCAGAGTGTCCCTGTGCTGTCACAGCCCAGAAATCTTTGTCCCATCTGTGTTGTCCCTTTTGGCTGAAGCTCCTGTCCCCGGAGCTGCTGTCCTGGCTGGTGGCACAGCACATCCCTGGGGTGTCACTGCCACTGCTGTCCAACTCTTGGTGTCCTCAGGGCTGAGACTAAAGCCTTTTGCTCCCTCCTGCTTGTCATTTGCAACAGCCAGACTTCCAGGGAGGAGGCAAAATTGAATCAATTACTTTTATTTAATTAAACAGGACGAGAAAGGGCAAGAGTTGTCACAGCTCAGGCCAGGAGTCAGCCCCAGACCTGCTAGCCCCACTTGTCTCCTCTCCCATTCTCTGGTGTTTTTAAACCTGTCCATGCCAGGACAAAGTCCACTGTGATCCCTTTGAGCTCTGGTGGCTTTTCCCTGGAAAAGCCCAGGCTGCAACGCTGGCACTTCACCCTCCTCAGCACTGCAAGCTGGCCAAGACCCAGGGCTGCTGGCTGGTCCCCACCCAGCTCCTGGGGGGACCTGCTGCACGTGTCCCCTTCCCCCTGCAGGCAGAAATCACCCGGGTTCAAGGCATTGGGGTCCCACCAGACAGGATCTTCTACAGCAGCCCCTGCAAGCAGGTTGCCCACATCAGGTATGCAGCCACCCACGGGGTCAGGCTGATGGCCTTTGACAACGAGGTGGAGCTGAGCAAGGTGGCCAGGAGCCACCCCCGTGCCAGGTGGGTGTCTGGCAGTGCCACTGGAGTGGGTGCTGGAGGAGGGGATGGGCAGGGGGCTGTGGGGGGCGAGGGGAGGTTGTTCAAGGTGGGTGTTGGTCTCTTCCCCCGGGTGATAGCACAAGAGGAACTGCCTCAAGCTGTGCCAGGGGAAGTTTGGATTGGATATGGGGAAAAATTTGATCACTGAAGGGGTGACCAGGCAGTGGAACAGGCTGCCCAGGGAAGGGGTGGAATCACCATCTCTGGAAACATTAAACAAACTTGTAGGTGTGGTGCTCAGGGACGTGGTTTGGTGCTGGGCTTAATAGTTGGGGTTAATATTTGGACTCCGTGATCTTTGAGGGCTTCTCCAGCCCTCAAAGGCTTTTCCTTTCATGATCCTGTTATTCCAAGACCCCTGAACACAGCGTGCCTTTGCTTTGCAGGATGTTGTTGGGGATCTCTGCTGACTCCATCCCTGCTGCCCACCCAAGCATGACCTTTGGGAGCACGCTGAAATCCTGCCGGCACCTGCTGGAGACAGCGAAGGAGCAGGCTGTGGAGGTGGTGGGCATCAGGTACAGCCCTGGCCTTCTTCCCTAGGGCTGTCAGCCCTTCTCCATCAGGATCTGGGGAGCTCTGCCCTGGGGGTGAGCTGAAGGCAGCATTTGAGCTTGTTGGGGCCAATTTGGGGCAGTTGGACCCCAGGAAAGGCTCTGTGGGGCTCGGCATGGTGTGTGGGAAGCTGTGTGAGTGACAACCCCAGCGCTGTGTCCCCTCTGCTCTGGGGGGGATCAAACCCTGCTGAGATGAGGTCTGTGCCCTCAGCTTCCACCTCGGGAGCCGTGGGCTGGAGCCCCAGGCCTGGCCCCAGGCTGTGGCCACAGCACAGCTGGTGTGTGACATGGGCACGGAGCTGGGACACCACATGCACCTCCTGGACATTGGGGGGGGATTCCCTGCCACTGAGGACGCCAGAGCCCCGCTGGAAGAGGTACAAACCTCCAACACCTGCCCTCAGCAGGCAGAGAATGAGCTTGGAAGCTCTCCCTGGCTTTGGCTCTCTGCAGAGCTCCCTCCTAACCAAGAGGAAGGTTCTTTTCCTTCCCTCACAGATTGCTGCTGGGATAAACTCTGCCCTGGATTTGTACTTCCCCGAGGGCAGTGGGGTGGACATTATTGCCAGGCCTGGGCGTTACTATGTCACCTCTGCCTTCACCTTGGCTGTCAGCATCACTGCCTTGGAGGAGATCCCCGTGGAGCAGCCTGGCTCTGATGGTAGGTGTGACAGCAGGGTGTGTGTCCCCTGTGTCCTTGAGCCCCCTGAGCCCTGTCCCTGCTCCCTGATGTGTCCCCTGTGTCCCTGAACCCTCTCCCTGCACCCCAATGTGTCCCCTCTGTCCCTGAGCCCTCTCCCCACTCCCTGATGTGTCCCCTGTGTCCCTGAGCTCTCTCCCCACTCCTTTATGTGTTCCCTGTGTCCCTGAGCCCCCCTGAGCCCTCTCCCTGTTCTCTGATGTGTCCCCTCTGTCCCTGAGCCCTCTCCCTGTTCCCCAACGTGTCCCCTGTGTCCCTGAGCCCCCTGAGCCCTCTCCCCACTCCCTGATGTGTCCCCTCTGTCCCTAAGCCCCTCTGAACCCTCTCCTCACTCCCTGATGTGTCCCCTGTGTCCCTGAGCCCTCTGAACCCTCTCCTCACTCCATTATGTGTCCCCTCTGTCCCTGAGCCCCCCTGAGCCCTCTCCCCACTCCCTGATGTGTTCCCTCTGTCCCTGAGCCTCCCTGAACCCTCTCCCTCTTTTCCAATGTGTCCCCTGTGTCCCTGAGCCCCCTGAGCCCTCTCCCCACTCCCTGATGTGTCCCCTCTGTCCCTAAGCCACTCTGAACCCTCTCCTCACTCCCTGATCTGTCCCCTGTGTCCCTGAGCCCTCTGAACCCTCTCCTCACTCCATTATGTGTCCCCTCTGTCCCTGAGCCCCCCTGAGCCCTCTCCTCATTCCATGATGTGTTCCCTCTGTCCCTGAGACCCCTGAACCCTCTCCCTCTTTTCCAATGTGTCCCCTGTGTCCCTGAGCCCTCTCCCCACTCCCTGCTGTGTCCCCTCTGTCCCTGAGACACCTGAACCCTCTCCCTCTTTTCCAATGTGTCTCCTCTGTCCCTGAGCCCTCTCCCTGTTCCCCAACGTGTCCCCTGTGTCCCTGAGCCCTCTCCCCACTCCATGATGTGTCCCCTCTGTCCCTGAGCCCTCTCCCTGTTCCCCAACGTGTCCCCCGTGTCCCTGAGCCCCCTGAGCCCTCTCCCCCGTCCCTTGCAGAGGAAGAGTGTGGCAGCAAGAAGAGCCTGGTCTATCACCTCAGTGATGGCATCTATGGTGCCTTCAGCTGCCTCCTGTTCGACAGCCCCTGCCCCAGGCCTCGGCTGCACAAGGTGAGGGGCTCACCTGGCCCGGGGTGTCCCTCACACTGGCTCAGCCACCTCCCTGCCACTGGGGGAAGCTGCACTGAGTCCTTGGGGTTCACTTTGGGGGTGACTGTGCCGTTGGGACATGGGAAAGACCCATGAGAGGGGGATAACAAACCGCGTGGTGTAAAATATTCAGTGCAATACAAAGAATACTCAGTGCAAATCCCCAGTTGTCAGAGCCCAAGATGTTCTCCCTGATGGTCCTGGATGATCCAAGCCCCAGCCAGGGGGCTTTGAAGCCCTGGCAGGGAGGGTTCAGAGACCCTGGCATGCAGCCAAAGACCCCTGTGGCTTGGAGTTCACCAAATTACCACCTTTAGATGAAGAATTAAAGGTCACAAAAGTTTCTATAACATAGCAGTAGTTGTCACGGGGTGAAAGGTGAAATTTTAAAGAATTTTACTATGGGGGTCCAGGGGGCAAAATGGAGGGATTTGGGCATTGTCCTGTTCTTCTCCCTTCTTCTTCCTAGCCTCCATCTTCTTTGGGATTGGTGTAGAGTAGAAAGTCACTTTCTGACATAGGTGATAGGTGTGGGAACACAACTGTGAATATCAAATACATAGTTTATAGTATAAAAGACAACACCAGCCCCGTGGGCGGGCAGTGTGCCTCAGACTGACCTGCAGAACAGATCTCAGCAGGCCAGACAGAAAATGTTTTAGACAAAAAAATAATAAACAACCTTGAGAAACGCGAGCCGAAGACTCCTGATCCCTTCTTCGACAGCTGGGCTGGGGAAAAGAGACTTTTTAACACACCTCAACCAGAGGGAATCTCCAAAAAACAACAGCTAAATAAACCATTTAGTGCAATATAACACTCATGCTGTGTTTTTGCTGCAGAGACCGTGCCCAGAGCAGCCCTGGCACAGCTGCAGCCTGCGGGGCCCGCGGGGGCACGGCGAGGATCGCATCGCCGAGGGGCTGCAGCTGCCCCAGCTGCACGTGGGGGACTGGCTGCTTTTTGGGGACATGGGAGCCTACACCATGCCAGCATCATCCCTGCTCACAGCTGGTCCCCAAGCACGGGTCACCTACGCCATGTCCCGCATGGCCTGGTAAGGGATGGGCAGGGTGGGAGGGCAGGGGGGCGTTCCGTGGGAGGTGTTGGCTTCTCTTCCACCTGGCTTCTGAGTCCTAGAACTTGGAAATTCATGGTCCCAGAGGGAAAAATACTATTTAAAAAAAAAATTTATCAAACTTGAGGCGGTTTTTCACCGGAGAAAAGAGAGGCAGCTCACCTCTGGCTGTCGTTCTGGGGGACAGGAGAGCCCTGGAGGGTCCCCATCCCATTCTCAAGGGGCTGCTCCTTCCCCTGGCTCCCCCTCGGGTGTCTCCCCTTGCAGGAAAGCCATCCAGCTCTTCCAGGGAAAGCCACCCCAGACAGAAGATGACCGTGAGAGCCTCTGCACGCCCCTGTCCTGCGGCTGGGAGATGGCAGAGACGCTTTGTGTCACCCCTGTCTTCGCTCCAGCTGGCATCATCTGAGCAGCTCTGGGGAAGGAGCCACAGTGGGAAAGGTCCTGTGGGGGTACTGGCAGGGTTTTTGGGAGTGGTGGGCATCACTGGTTTGGGCTCTGTTTTTGGGAGTGGTGGGCATCACTGGTTTGGGCTCTGTTTTTGGGAGTGGTGGGTGTCACTGGTAGCCAAGGGTGGCTTCAGGGGTCGGGGGAGGAAGCCCCTGGTCCTTCCCACCCTGTGCCAGGAACTGGGAGAACTGGGGGGCACTGGGAGAGCTGGAGGCACTGGGGGCACTGGGATGGCACTGGGAGCACTAGGAGAGCACTGGAAGGGCACTGGGAGGGCACTGGGAGCACTGGAAGGGCACTGGGAGCACTGGGAGGGCACTGGGAGCACTGGGAGCACTGGGAGGTCACTGGGAGCACTGGGAGCACCGGGAGAGCCTTGAGCGCCGTGGCCGCCAGGGGGCGCTGGGGCGCGGCGTGCAGCGAGTCCTCCGATCCGCCAGGAGCGCTACAACACAGGGGCGGGGGCGCGCTGGTGCCGCTCTCCTCTCTGCCTCCGCCCAGCCGTAGAGCGCGGCACGGTGCCGCGCCGTCGGTTGCGCTTGACGGCGGCGGCGTCGCGAAAGGCCCGTGAAGGACGGCGGCGGGCCCGTGAGGGGGGGCGGCGGTGTCGGCGGCGCGACAGCGGCCGTGTCGCGACAGGAGCGCAGCCATGCCGTTCTGGGGCCTGCAGAAGCAGCTGGGCATCGATGTGGACAGCTTTCTGCTGCGGCAGAGCATGCCGCAGCCGCACGGCCAGGCCGCGGCCTGTCACGCCTTCGAGCGCGAGTGGGTGGAGTGCGGGCACGGGCTGGGCCAGACCCGCGCCCGGCGCGAGTGTCAGCTCGAGTACGAGGATTTCATGGAGTGCATGAAGCGCACCAAGCTGGTGGGTGAGCGGGGGGACACGGGGGGACACGGGGGGCGTGGGGGTCCCGACAAGGGGAGGCACCAGCGGCGGGCTGGGGGGACCCGAGGGGCTGGGTCAGGCTGGGGAGGGGGGCGCAGGGGCCTGGCCGTGCTCTGGGGGAGGTTTGAGGGCTCCAGCTCAGGGTGGGAGCGCTGCCTGCTCGTTCCCAGCCTGAGGGGGGGTCTGGCCCCGCAGCAGCCCCTTCCCCCGGGCTGTGGGGGCTGCAGGAGCCCGGGGACGCTGCGGCTGCCCCGCTCCTGGGAAAGTTCCAGGCCGGCTTGGAGCTCAGTGGGAGGTGTCCTGCCCACGGGGGTGGGACTGGGTGGGATTTTAGCTCCCTCCCAATCAAACCGTTCCGTGTTTTGGGGCAGCGTGGAGCAGATCTTTGTCCCTGCCCCCAGCAGCGTCCACATCCAGGATAAAATCCTGCTCAGGAAACGGGGCTGGAAACCCAAACCTCATCAGTACAGAGCATCCTGAAAGCCCCAAAATCTTTGAGAAGAGCCTCAAGCTCGAGTGAGGAGCCCCAGGGCGGGGTTGGTGTGGGCTCCACCTGTCCTGGGGACCCCCTGAGACCCCCCTGAGACCCCCCTGTGTCCCTGGCAGACCCAACGGCTCCGGATCATCTTGGAGCAGCGGGACAAGATGATCAAGCAGGGGAAGTACACACCCCCCGAGCACCACATGGGCAAGGAGGAGCCCAGGCCGTGATTCCCTCTGGAATTCCTCTTGGAAGAGACCCCGCAGAGCTCGGGGCAGGGGCCCTGCTGTGGCTGGAGGGGAGCAGCCTCAGGCTGGGCATTGCTGGGGCAGTAAACATCCCTTTGGAATGTCTCCTTGCCTCTGTCTTGTGTCTTTTTTTGGGGGTAAAACACCTCTTTTCCACGCGGATTCACAGTGGGAGTGCATGGATTTAGGATCTCCCCTGTCTTTTCAGTGTGTGGGAGGCAGATTTCCTCCCTGAGGGCTTTGGAATCCCAAATGCCAGCAGGATCCATGCAGGCCCTGGCACAGCCCAGGGGGTTTGTCCCTCCCAAGGAGAGTTTTTCCTTCCATTCCCTCAGCTTTGGAGCAGCACTGAAGCAGGAGAGAGTCCCTGGAAGTGGAGAGTGGCCAGCTCTGTGCTTTAATCCACATTTTTAATACTGCTGCTGCTGGAGTTAATGCTGGATCTTCCCTGGGACATTCCTGATCCCAAATCCCCCTGCAAAGGCTGAGCCCAGCGTGGCAGGGGTGTGACACAAGGGACATTCCAGGAGGGACATTCCAGAGCCCTCCTTCCTGGGCCATGAATCAGTGGTGGGCAGAGAGGAGTCTCTCAGATCCCTGACTCCAGGCAGCCCCTGGGATTGCTGAGCCCTTGGATATGAGGGGTCACAGCTGGCTGCTGCTTTTGGGGGGCTCTGAGCCACCCCAGGGATGTGAGCCAGAAGAGCTCTGTTATTTCCCTTTGGAACAAAGTGCACTGCAAAAAACCCTTCCCTGCATTTCAGGAGCCATCCCAGCAGGGTTTGAGCTTTTCCTGGGATTTCTGCTGCTCCTCATGAGCTCTGTCCCTCAGCTCCCTCCAAACCAGCCCTGCCTGAGGTTTGTCCCTTCCCCCAGGCCCAGATGGATCCCCTGCTCCAGCCCAGATGGATTCCCTGTGCTCTGGCTGAGTCACAGCCACCATTCTCCCTGGCACTGAGAGCTCCAAATTCCCACTCTGGGTTCAAATCCTCTGAGCCAGGGGCACATCCCTGTCCCAGGGCTGGCTCTTTCTTGTGTCTGCCTTTCTTTGGCACTGCTGTGTTCCCTCTCATTTACATAACTCTGGAAATAATGTCCTTTTAAATTTTTCTTTCCATCAATTTTGATATTTTTTCTCCTGTCTCCTGCCCAAAGCATGAATAAATGACCTGAGACTCCATCCTGGTTGGATCCTGACTAATTCCTGCCTGTCCTTGCAGTAGCTGTTGGAGACTGATAATCCTCAGGGATTCTGGTTGCTGCTTTAAATATGAAAACTCTGGTGGTGATGAGTTTGAGATATCCATGGATCTCAGCATTCCAGCTGTGAAGGTGGGCAAGGAGGAACTCTGAGGAGGGAAACACTGGGAAAATATGGAAAAGGGTGGAAATACAGAAAAGGGAATGGCTTCAGGTGGAAATATGGAAAAGGGAGTGGCTTCAGGTGGAAATATGGAAAAGGGAATGGCTTCAGGTGGAAAGGGACTGGGGAGGCTACAGAGCTGCCAGAACAAATAAAGGATGGGCAAAGAGGGAAAATGGGGCTGGGGATGGAAATTGAGCAGTGCCACGGAGCCTTTGGAGTTATTTATCCTCAGTGAATTGTCCACTGGAGTTATTTATCCTCAGTGAATTGTCCTTTGGAGTTATTTATCCTCAGTGAACTGTCCCAGGAGGATTTGGGGAGGGATGGGACTGTGGCTGGGGCACGTGGGGACCCACATGGAGCACCCAGAAGCTCTGAGCTATCCCAGGAGCTGATCCCTCACCAAATATCACTGCAGCTCCCCAGGGCCAGACCCTGGGTGTCACCCATGGATGGAAATTTGGGAAGTGCAGCCAGCCAGGAGCCTCCACACTTGCAATCGCTCATTATGGATGATGATTAATTATCATCAATTATCTTTCCCGAAGAGATGTGCACTGGTGGAGGAGTGCAGAGAAGACTTTGAGGATGACTTTTTCTGGTGGAGGCTTTGCCAGTGGCATCACAGCTTCCCCCCAAGCTGGATGTGAGGGCTGGTGACACCCAGAGCCACACAGCAGCATGGGCCAATGCTCCAGGAATCGCTGTTTTGGGGAAAAAAACCCTGTTTTGATTAGAAGTGTTGCTTTTCCAGGGAGAGGAAGGAAAAAAAAACAGGCTCAGCAAAAAGCCTGGCAGCTCCACGCTGGTGTGGAGTGACTCATCCCATGGAGAAGTGCAGATGTCAGAGGAAATGTTGGGATGCATCTGAACTCTCCTGGCTCCCGAGGGGCTCTTTAGATCCCTTCAAAATCAAATTGCTCCGGCGATCGGCGTGAGCGCAGCCACGCCAGGAGGATCCATTTGCTGGAGTTAAAAGCTCTGTCAGGAATTTCACCAATAAAGGGAATAATCAAAGACCTGATGAAAACAATCAAATTTATGGAGAGATTAAAATAAAAACACGTCCCAGCTCTGCTGGGAGGAGACAGAGGCCGAGGCTCTGGCTGAGCAGCAGGGATCGAAAATGGATCCGATGCTCCTGACCGAGTTCCCCTGGGCAAAGGGATTTGGAGCATCCTCAGCTCCACAGTGTGGCTCACCACGAAGCCTGAACAGGATCCATATCCAGCCTGTAGTGGTTCCAAATTTATGTTTTGCTCTTTGCCTTTTTTGTCGCTTTTTTGGCACGGGGTGATGCCACGTCCCAGCTGGGTGGGAGGCACCGGGGCTGGGATGGGGTGGGAGATCTCCGTGGGGAGCTGCTTCTGCCACAGACACGGCCTTGGCTGGGCAGGAGCTGGTGAGGGCAGAGCACCATCCCTCCCCCCAGCCCCTCATTCCCATTTTCCTACAACCCGTAGCCCCCAGGACTGGGAATTGGGGGCTGGGATGGGGCTGAGCCCCCACCTCCTGCAGCTCCCGCAGCCCTGGATGTGCTGTGCATCATCTGCAGCTCCTCTCTGCCTCGGAGAGGGGGAACAAACAACTCCCAGGAGATGAATAATTTATCAAAAGTCAGGGGAAAAGGCAGATTTCAGCCCTGGGCTTGGGCAGAAGGTTTTAATGAGAGAGAGGGGACCATTCTTGGGGCAGAGCCGGGTTCTGGCTGATTTGCACCAGGAGACATCTCCCTGCCTCCCTGTGGGTGTCCAAGGTCTCGGCACTCGGGGTCCCAGGGGTCCCCTCCATCCTGCTGAGCAGCACAGGAGCAGGGAAATGAAATGATTTAGGGAGGACCTGCCTCCCCCTTCTGCCCAAAATAACGATTCCCTGTCTCCACGTCGGCAAAACAACGCACGATCCTAACCCAGATTCGCAGCACAAATAATCCAGCAGCTCCCGGCGCTGCGAGGGATTTCGGGAAGCACATTCCGGGTGTGAGATCCACGCGGGCTGGAACAGGCGCCGTCTCCCAGCCACCCGCGCTCCTCCGGGATTCAGCACGCCTGGAATTGGCTGGGCTTGTTCCCAGAGCGCCGTGAGGGAGGAGGCTGGAGCCCGGCTGGTGACACACGGGGTGACAAAGACACCTGGTGACACACGGGGTGACAAAGGCACGCCAGCACCGGACCTCCCGCAGCCGGCCGGGCTGTGAACCCTGCGTGCTGTCCCCAGGGCGAGGGGTGCCCGGTCACCAGGGCGGGCAGCAGGGGTGACCGAGGGTGTCACAGCATCCCCCCGGCCGTGGCCGCGCTCTCGGGGCCGGCAGCGCTGCAGACACGCGGCCGAGCCGCCCAACCCGTCCGGGAGCTTTGGGAACGGCGCTGCGGCAGCGTCTGCCTCTCCAGGCACTTCCCTCCTCCCAGCGCCTCTGGGGCCGCCGGCTCTGCCGGGATGAGCCTCCCCTGCTCCTCTCTCACGGGTTTTGGGGTCCCCCATAATGATGGGAACCACAGCCCCCGCTTGAGTGTGTTTATCCAGCGGTGTCCAGTACGGAGCTGACTGCCTGCTGCAGGGGTGTGCGCAGAAAGCAGTGTCAGGGTGGCACCAGGGTGGTGGCCCTGTCACTGTCGCCGTCATTGGGGTGGTGGGACTGGTGCCAGCCCACAAGCACACCCTTTTCCAGTACACCCTTTACTCTGCCCCGAGCTCCCCAGCACCAGTCCGGCCTGGCTGCAGCCCGAGAGGGTTCCCAGCTCCCAGAACTCACATCCTCATTCCCAGCTGGACCTCGTGTCTTCGAGGCCTTGCCCCTGCGTCTGTGGGGTCACCTCACTGGTGTCCACACCTGGGCGGGTTTTGGCCGAGTGCTTCCTCCCATCCCTGCATCTGATCGAGCAGGGCCGCAGGGCAACACGTGCTCCTCTCCAGCCACGTCCCAAGCTGCGTCCAAGAGCAGTTGTCACCACACCCCACCCCGTGTGTCCTGCACCTCGTCCCACCCCATCGCGCTGGAAGCACTCAGGAAAACACACACCGGGGAAGCAGAACTGTTGGGATGAGATCTGAAAACCGGCGGGGGAGAGATGCCCACGGGGCACTGGGGTGCGCCGAGACCCCGGGGGGACTGGGGCGCCGAGCTTGGCCGGGCCGCCTGCGGCGCCGCGGGAGCAGCCGCGGGGGCCCGGGGCCGTGGCACGGAGCTGCCGCTGCTGCTGCTCGTTCGATGCCGCCGTCGGTGCGGAGCGGCTGGATCTGCCGTCAGCCGGAGCGGTTTAGCCTGCTTCACTCCTGCCAGGCTGCTGGGGCTGTCCTGCAGCTCCGTCACCCCTTCGGGCTGCTCCTGGTGTCCCTGCCCGCTCCGCGGCTGGCGCTGGGACACGTTCGGCTGCGGCTGGGATGCGCGGCTGCCCCGCAGGTGAGGCCCTGGGCAGCTCACGGCTCTCCCAGCGCGGCCCCCGCACCTTCCCCAGGCTGTCCCCGCACCCCGCTCGTGTCCCCCGCCATGCGCTGAGGCTGCTGGCCCCGATCCCCGATCGATGGGTGCTCTAATTACCCTGGGCCTGGGGGGATCCGGAGGATGAGGATGGAACGGGGATGCTGGGAGGATGCCGGGGGGGCTCTGTAGGGTGCAGGGGGCTGCTGGGTGGTTTGGGGGGACCCCCTGTGCAACGGGGGTGCAGGGTGGGCAGGCAGCAGGCGTTGCGGTGCCCTGAGGAGCCCGGGCAGGTTGGAGGGCGCAGCCTGGGAGCCCCGAGGGGGTTGCCCGGGGCCGGCCCGGGGGTGCCCGGGGTGGAGGTGCCGGTTGTGCCGGCGCAGGGGCGGGCGGCGGGGCCGGTCTCGGGGCTGCGCGGGGCGGGAGGCGGCCGGGACCCCCCCGCCCGGGAGCGGCCGGACCGGGAGCGCACGGCGGGGCCGGGCCGGCACCGGAGCGCCGCGTCCTGCCCGCGCCGAGTCGGTACCGGAGCGCCGGCGGGGGGTGAGCGGGGCCGGGGCTGCGGGCAGGGGGCTGCGCACCGGGGAGGGAGCGGGGAAGGGCGGCGGATGCAGCGGGGATGGGCCGGGGATGGAGCGGGGAAGCGGCGGGGATGGAGCGGGGAAGCGCAGGGTCAGAGCGGGAGATGAGCGGGGGATGAAGCGGGAAGGGCAGGACACGGGAATGCAGCGGGGATGGAGCGCGGAAGGGCGGCGGGTGGGGATGGGGAAGGACCGGGAAAAGGGGGCAACAGCCGCCGGGGCTGGGCTGGAGCTGCGGGCACCGGAGGGTGCCGGGAGGGGGGGGGGGGGGAGGACCAGGGGGGGGCAGGNGTGGGAGCAGGACCCGGGGGGGCCACACCGGCCCCGTGTGCCCCCGCAGAGCCGTGCCCGCTCCCCGCTGCCTCCTGCACCTGCTGCCCCCCCGCCCGTGCCGCAAACCCGGCTCCAACCCCCGCAGCCCCCGGCCCTGCCGCTCCCTGGGCACCGAACCCCGCCCGGCCCCGCAGCCCCCCCAGCCCCACGGCCGCGGGTCCCCCAAAAGCAGGGCGCGGGCTGAGCCCCTCGGGGCTACCGGGGGAGCGGCGGTTTTGGGCCGCGATTCATTTTTTCGCAGCTTTTCAATGGGGGGTGAATGACTCATGGAATCCTTTCTCCGTTTCTTTCAATGTTTTTTTGGGTCTCTTTGTTCCTGTTTTGCTGATTAAATGATGGGAATAAGGAAAGGCTCGGCGTGATGGAGGCGGCTCCTGCGCCGCGGCACATCGGTTGTAGGAGTCTCAGGCATTTTTCCTGGCCGTGCTAGAGGACACAATGAGATTTATTTTAAATATGTCTCATGCAAGGTGCTTATTTGCCCAGCGTGTGTACGCGGCACAGCTCACTCCCGGCGTGCTCCAGAAAGCCCTACCATCTTCCTCTGCCATGATTAATAAGATTTTAAAATCCATTCCCGTTCTCAAAGGGGAAAAACCTGCAGGTACAAAGGGCAGAGCCGAGCTGATGCTCCTTCTTGCACTGAGCACAAAGAAATCGTGCCCAAAAGGTTGGACTTGCCTTTGTGGGAGTGAGCTCAGGGATGCCAGTGTGAGCTTTGCTGACAGAGTGGCAGCCGTGCCAGCATCCCCATCCCTGGGAACCCCAGCAAGGGGGAAACTGAGGCAGCATTCAGAACCTCCAGGAGGGCTGAGACACCCATGGTGGACGATCCCTCCTCCACCACCCGCAGCACCTGTGGAGGGGAGGGCCCCGCTGCCGGTGGCCCGGTGTCAAACGCTGTTTGCTCCTTCTCCAGGGTGCTGCTGCCCGCGGGGACGTCCTGCCCGCCCTCCTGCCCGTGCCCTGGGCCATGTCGTCCTCCGACGAGGAGACCCTCAGCGAGCGCTCCTGCCGGAGCGAGCGGTCGTGCCGGAGCGAGCGCTCCTACCGCAGCGAACGCTCGGGCAGCCTCTCCCCCTGCCCCCCCGGGGACACCTTGCCCTGGAATTTACCCCTCCATGAGCAGAGGAAGAGGAAGAGTCAGGATTCGGTGCTGGACCCGGCCGAGAGGGCTGTCGTCAGGGTCGCAGGTAAGGCAGCGCCTTGTTGGTTCCCCCCGTGGGTTCCCGGGGCTCCCCCGCGGTGACTGAGATGCTCTTGGGGTCACCTCTGCGCCCCGCTGCTCCTCAGAGAGCCTGGGGATGGATGGGGAGAGGAGGGGAGGGGTGGATGTGGCGCTGGTGGCCGAGGAGCAGGGTGGTGGTTTGTCTCTGCCATGGCTTTGTCCTCTCCAGGCTCGCCCGGGGCGGTTCATCCCATCAGCACTGGGGTTAAGGGATGTTTGGGCACCTCCAACTGCGGGTTGGGTGACATTAAAATGCTTAATTAAGGACTGAATGGCTCCTTTGGTGGAACAATGCCCTCGGCTGAACTCCGGGGAGGAATTTGCCCGGGGAGGTTTGGGATTCCCGCCCGGCTGATGGAGCTGGGGCTGCTCCTTTGTGGTGCCCATCAGCAGCTCCATCGCTGCGGTCACTGGGACGTGCGATGTCCCCGTGCGGAGGGGACAGTGCCCCGCGTGTCCCTTTGCCTGCTGTGCTGCTGACCCGGTCACAGCTCAGGAGAAGGAGCAGGGAGGCAGAAACAAAGGCAGGGCTGGACCCACCTTGGCCGATGGCTCCCGGTCCAAGCGCCGCTCTGGGGGCGGTGGGGACCCCACTCCGGCATGGCTGGGGAGGGAGGATGGGGGAATCTGCTCAGGGTGGTGGCTCCAGGCACCAGAGCTGGCATTTGACTCTTCACTGGGGCCAAACGGCCATTAAGGGCTTTGATCTGTGTCTGCCGGGGTCTGTCCACATCTCCCGGGCGCCTTTGATCTGCTCCTGCCGGAGCAAACGGGGATTTGGGAATCATGGCCGTGCTGAGGGACCCCCGCTGAGCCCTGGCCAGGCTGTTCCTGGCTGTGGCTCCAAGAGAAACCCAGGGCTGGGTTTTAATCTCTCTGGTGGGAGTGGGCACAAGGGTGACAAACCCCTGAGGTGCCCACCCTGCCCAGCCAGCCCCCGGTGGGTGACCAAACCAGCCCCAGTGCTGGGCTGCCCATCCTGTGGGGACACAGACTGGGAGCACTGGGGAGCAGGGGCACACCTGGCACAGGGGCAGGTGCCAGCAGGGCAGGGGTGGCCGGGGGGTGCTGCTCCCTCCCTCCCTGCCTGCCCCATGGCACGGGGTGCGTGGGGATCCGGCCGTGCCACTGTGCCAGCCCGGGAATCTCGGGGCTGGAAGAACCAGTTGATTCAAATGATGGCTCTTGAGAATGCACCGTCTGGGGCTGGGACAGGCAAATATGCAAGGGTGCGGCTGGCCCTGCCCCAAATCCCAAATCCCAAATCCCTGGGGCTGGGAGATGGAGGGGTACCAGGATCCTGCCATGTTCACTGCTTCTCATGGACCTGCTCTGCCCCAAAATCCCCATCCTCCCACACCCAGGGATGGATTCTGCCAAGGCCCAGCCATTCCCCAGCTCCATTTGTGCCCGGGATGCCGAGTGCTTGTTGTCACCCAGCTGGATGCAGCCCGTGATGAAAGGCAGGGGGATGTCACAGAATTCGGTCTCATGCAGATTGCCCATTAAAAATAACTCGGGAGGTGCAGAGAGACAGTGCTGAGCTGGGAAAAAGAAAGGAAAAAAAAAGAGTTCGGAGACAGTTTTGTGTCACCAAGTTTGAAAATGAGCTGAAATATTGATTCAGATCCTTGCATTATTCAGCGGGAATGTCTGCGGGGCGCTGGCTGCCCCAGTGCCTCTTCCCACTGGGATCAGGCTTGGCACCAGGCATGGTGGCCTGAGGAATGTGCCCTGGGGGGACCTGGCACCTCTCAGTGAGGTGAGGGCAGTGGGGGCTTGGCTTTTTGGGATCCCCAGGAAGGGGCAGCAGGGCCTGGGGATGGAGCCTGAGCATCATTTGGGGCTGGGGAACCCCATCCTTGTGCCACCATGGACCTTGTGGAGATGACACAGAAGGAGTGGCACCTTTGTGGGTTTGGGGGACACAGGGATATTGGTTTTGAGGGGGACACAGAGATCTGAGGGGCTCTTCCTCCTCACTCTCCATGGGATCCAGCAGTCTCTGTATCCCTTCTGGCCATCAGAGCCAAGGAAAGGAAGAAGTGAGGTGAGGGCAGTGGGGGCTTGGCTTTTTGGGATCCCCAGGAAGGGGCAGCAGGGCCTGGGGATGGAGCCTGAGCATCATTTGGGGCTGGGGAACCCCATCCTTGTGCCACCATGGACCTTGTGGAGATGACACAGAAGGAGTGGCACCTTTGTGGGTTTGGGGGACACAGGGATCTTGGTTTTGAGGGGGACACAGAGATCTGGGGGGCTCTTCCTCCTCACTATCCATGGGGTCCAGCAGTCTCTGCATCCCTTCTGGCCATCAGAGCCAAGGAAAGGAGGACACAGCCCAGGGAGGGCCTGTGGGGGGCTGGGACACGCTGGCCCAGGTCTCCAGGCAGCTCTGGAGCCGTTCCCTGCTTTTCTGGCATCTCCTGGGAAGGCAGCGGTGGGAGGGGAGGGGGGAGCAGGACGTGGAGGGTCAGAGTGTGACCCTTGGCCCTGCCTTGCTCTGTCTCACTCCAGGCGCTTGGCAGAGGGTGAGGGCGGGCGGGGGTGGCTGATTTTGGGGAAAAAAAGGGCTCTTTTATCCCAAATCGGTGCTGCCAGGGCCGTGCCAGGGTGCTGCCGGGCCAGGAGGGGCCGGGGGACTCCGGGATGCCAGGGGTGAGCGGGCAGGGGTGATGGACGAGGCGTCGCTGGGGCTTTCCAAGGGCTCTTTGAAAAGGTTCCTGGGAGTCCTTTGTCACCCGGGCGCGTCACCCGCGCCGCTGGCAGAGCCGGCGCTGGCTGAGGGAGGGAGCTGCTCTTCATCCCCGGGGACACGGGAACAAACCCCCTTGTTCTCGCTGCCTAGGGACCGGCTCGGGGCAGGTTCCGAGGAGGAATCGCTGAGTGCCAGCTGGCCGGCACAGATTTCCCTTTCCCTGGGAACGCGTTTTTGGGTCAGAGGGATGCGGTGGGCGCAGGCACCTCTGCAGGGCTCTGTGCCGGGCGGCTCCGCGGGCAGAGCCGGGGGAGCTGCGCCCCTGGGGCCGTTCCCGGGGGATTCTCCGGCCATTCCCAGGGGGATGCTCCGCTGAGGATGCGTGCCTGGCACCTCCGGGCACAAAGGCCCTGCCTCGAGGTCGCGGCGATCGAAACCCTCCTCCCCACGGAGGCTCTGCCGGGGATGCAGCCGGGCACTCGCGCTCTGTGCCGCGTTAATTACTTTTCCTAATTAAGGCGCCAAGCTGAAAGGGAGATGCCTCCAAAATCGGGATGAGGGGGGTGATTTGGGTAACCCCACCCCAGGCCGGGGGCTGCGGGAGGAGCAGGAGGAGGAGGAGGAGGAGGAAGATGGAGGTGCTGCCCCTGGTCCCTCTTCATTCCCTGGAGGGATGCGGGGGGCCGCCCCCCCACGCTGAGGGGGCTCGGGGGTCCCTGGGTGACGGTGGGGACACACAGCGTGTCTGTCTATCTGTCTGAGAGGGATGGGGCTTTTCTCGTTGCCATGGTTACCCAGCCGGGCCCTCCAGTTGCCATGGGAACGGCGCATCGGGGTGAACAAGCAACATCTTGAGATGGCCAAAAAAGGGCCGGGGTTTGCCCCAGCCAGGGGGGCTGGGTCTGGGGGGATCACGGCGAGGGGGTGTCCTGTGGGCCCAGCGGGGGGGACTGCGGTGTCCCCTGGCCTGGGGACAGCCACCCTCGTGCCCTGTAAGCTGTTTCCACAGGAGGTTTTGCTCTGTCAGCCTGGCTGGGGTCTGGGGGGGCTGAGCGGGGTTTCTGTGGGTTTGGCAGTGCCAGGCAGGGTTGGCCCTGAGCCCCCATTTCCCAAACCCGGTGGGGTTTGGCTCTGCCCCACTGCTCCCCTGGGTGGGGCCTTTCCATCCCCTCCAGAGTCCCCCAGCTGATTCTCAGAGCCCCCTTTTTCCTGCCCATCCCTCGCCAGGTGATGCTGAGGGGTCCCCACTCCCCCTGACCCCTCCAGGCAGTGCAGAGTGTCCCCCCTGGTGTCAGCCCCGCTGCCACCCCTCTGTGTCACCCTCTGGTGTCACTGCCTGTGTCAGCCATCCTCCTGTGTTGTCCCCAGTGTCACTCCCAGTGTCACACCCTGGTGTCGTTCTTGGTATCACCTCCAGTGTCACCCCCCCCTGTCACACACAGTGTCACCCCCTGGTGTCGTTCTTGGTATCACGGCCATTGTCGCCCCCGGTGTCACCCCAGTGTCACCCCCAGTATAATCCCCGGTGTCACCCCTGTGTCACCCCCAGTACAATCCCCGGTGTCACCCCTGTGTCACCCCCAGTACAATCCCCGGTGTCACCCCTGTGTCACCCCCGTTGTCCCCGCCCGGTGCTGCCCCGAGCGGCCGCCAGGGGTCGCGGCGGGCCCGGGGCGGGTTCCAGGGGGCGGGGCCTATTCAGAGGTGTGGCCTCAACGGGGGCGGAGCAAACACGGCCAGGTGGGCGGGAACAATTCAGATGGGCGTGGCCACGATAATTTCGAACTCAGGGGCGTGTCTAGGGGCGTGTCCCTCTCCATAGCAGTGTCCCCGCCCACGGGCGGTTACCGGCCCGGTGCTGGGGGGAGTCCCGGGAGCCATGAGCGGGTCTAGGGGCGTGTCCAGTGGGTGGGCACGATCCAAGGGCTTGTCCCCCCGGTGGGCGTGTCCCGGGACAATGGGAGTGTCCCGGGGCGTGTCCCGTGCCAGCGAGTTGGTCCCGGTGGCGAGGGGCGTGTCCCCAGGGCGGGTCCCGCTGCCGGTGGGCGTGTCCCCGGGGCGTGTCCCGGCTTGTCCCCCCGGTGGGCGTGTCCCGGGACAATGGGAGTGTCCCGGGGCGTGTCCCGTGCCAGCGAGTTGGTCCCGGTGGCGAGGGGCGTGTCCCCAGGGCGGGTCCCGCTGCCGGTGGGCGTGTCCCCAGGGCGGGTCCCGCTGCCGGTGGGCGTGTCCCCGGGGCGGGTCCCGGTGCCGGTGGGCGGGTCTCGGTGGCGGTGGGCGTGTCCCCGGGGCGTGTCCCGCTGCCGGTGGGCTGTCCCCGGGGCGGTGAGATCCAAATAGCTTCTGCCTCACCTTTTCTCTTCACTTCCCTATCTGTTCTGCCATTTCCCATCTTTTGACTCTCACAGAGAGGACAATACAGCTTTTTTATGGGAATGACTGGAAAGCCTGTGGTGACAAGCCAAACCAGGTGAACAAACCCCAAGCAAAAATTAAGAGCAGCAGGTAATGATGCTCAGAGATATGGAAAATTATCCAACACAAAAAGGATGAGATGAAAAGCAGAACAGATTTCTCTTGGAGAAGCAAAACAACTTAAAGAAGGCAAGGATTAAGTTGTGGGCAATGGTGGTTTTGCTATATGCACATTTTAAACACAGTTTCAAAGAGGAAATGTTTTAGAAAAGCTCAAATCTTTTCACTCAAGTAAAGCTCCAAGCAGAGGAACAAGACCTCGGATTTAAACATGAACCCTGTGGTTTACCCTGTCTGCAAAACAGAGCCTATAGAAATGCACATTCTCTTGCATTTAGGCTGTTCCCAAGAGCAAGGCCCTGCCAGCAGAGTGCTCTGTTATTTCTACACTTGTGTGACAAGTGCCACCCCAAACCTGCAAAGGCTTGTTGGTAATCCAGCATCACTGATACTAAAACTGGCACATATCATCTCAGCAGCAAATTAATACTCTGCTATTTAACTGACACAGTAATATTTGTTTTTCCTGAAAAAGATGCATCCATCAACTTCCTGTTCCACTCAACTCTGTTTACCTAATGCAGACACAACTAATAATTTTGAGGCACATTATGTCTCAGAGAACTGACAGTTCCACCCCCACCAACCCATGAGCCACAATGACTGCTCTCCATGCATCACTCTGTGAGACACTCTGCTTTCCAACTATGTTTATGCATTAAGCAAGTCCATTCACTTTGACCTGTAAATTATTCCCTAAGTTAGTTTAACTAGGGAAAATATTGTGCTAGGAGAGATTCTTGCAGAATTTGGGCACTGTGCCTCAGCTAATCCTGCTCCATTTTCTCGTGGTCTCTAAATTTACCTTTTTTTTTTTGTCCCGCTGCCGGTGGGCGTGTCCCCGGGGCGGGTCCCGGTGCCGGTGGGCTGTCCCCGGGGCGGGTCCCGGTGCCGGGGGGCGGGTCTCGGTGGCGGTGGGCTGTCCCCGGGGCGGGTCCCGGTGCCGGTGGGCTGTCCCCGGGGCGGGTCCCGGTGCCGGTGGGCTGTCCCCGGGGCGGGTCCCGGTGCCGGGGGGCGGGTCTCGGTGCCGGTGGGCTGTCCCCGGGGCGGGTCCCGGTGCCGGTGGGCGGGTCTCGGTGGCGGTGGGCTGTCCCCGGGGCGGGTCCCGGTGCCGGTGGGCTGTCCCCGGGGCGGGTCCCGGTGCCGGGGGGCGGGTCTCGGTGCCGGTGGGCTGTCCCCGGGGCGGGTCCCGGTGCCAATGGACGTGTCCCCGGGGCGGGACCCGGTGCCGGTGGGCTGTCCCCGGGGCGGGTCCCGGTGGCGGGCGCGGCGCGGCGGAAGCGGCCCCGGCACAGACGGGCCCTGGCCGCGCCGCCGGCAGCTGCGCCCAGCCCGGGCACAAAGGCCGCCATGGCCGGCTACGTGCCGGGGCTGCTCCCGGCCAACCGGAGCCAGGAGAAGGAGTTCGTGCAGGCCTACGAGGACGTGCTGGAGCGCTACAAAGGTACCGAGCCCGCCGGGCCCGCGGCCGGGCCTGGAGCGCGCCGGGGCCGCCCCGCGGGGCTCACCCGGCGCCGTCCCGGAGCCTTCCCGGAACCTTCCCGTTGTTTTCCCGTTGTTTTCCCGGTGTTTTCTCGGTGTTATCCCGGTGCCCGCGCGCGCTGCGGGGTGGATGCTCGGGGGCAGCATCCTCGGCTTGTCCCCGCGTGGGGTGCCCCGCTCCGGGTGTCCCCAGCGTGGGGACAGCTCCGAGCGTCCCGGCTGTCGCTCGGCCCTGCCTGGGCTGCGTGCGGGGGCTCCGGCCCTGCGTGGGTTCCCCGGGTGCCGCGGCTCCTGCGTGGGCTGCCCGCGGGCTCAGCATCCCTGCGTGGGGCGCCCGAGGGATGAGCGACAGCGCTGTCCCCGGCGTGGGGTGCCTGCCAGCCCTGCCCGAGCGCCCCACCTCCCCTCGGTGCCTTTCCCACAGTTTCGGGGTCCCCGTGTGCCTTCCGTGGGGTGCCCGGCATCCCAGCGGGCAGCACGGCGTCCCCCATCCCTGTGCCCTCACCCGCGGGGCCACCAGGGCTGTGGGGACCCCTCCGTGTCCCCGGGGTCCCTCTCTGGTGGGGATGAGGAGCCCAGGTGCTGGTACCGGCAGTGAGTGTGCAGTTTTGATGTCATCCCCGGCAGCTGGGTGTGCGTTCTCATTCTTCTGCTTGTTATTATGATTTTTTTTTTTTTTCCTCCTCCCCGCTGCAGCGCTCGGCTTGTCCTGGAGCCCAGATTCCAGCCCCACAGGGCTCCCCGTGCTCCGTTTTATGAGTTCAGCAGCCAAGTCTCTTTAAAATGCGGATGGCCGGGCTCAGAGGAGCCAGGGCTCGCAGTGCCTGTTTCCTTTTCCTTTTTTTTTTTCCTGCGGAAAAAGGGGAAGAATGGATTCCCTGGCTCCCTGATTCCGGGGGTGCCACTCAAACATCCCAGAGGTGGGAGAGACGTGCAGCCTCCGCAGGGAGCAGGGAATAAAACCTCCTCGGGTGCCTTGGAAAAGGCACTGGGAAACGTGACCTGGGCTCGTCCAAGTACTTGACAAACTTTTTTATTAGTACAGAGCTGCTTTGATGTCCTTGGGTTCAGCGTGGAGACGCTGCCGTGGAAGGAGCCGCTGTTTGCATCGGGTTTGCTTTGTTCCAGGCAAAAAAATGGGAATTCCAGGGCCTGTAATGCACTTGGTCCAGCTGGAGCACCCTTGGCACCTGGGCTCCCCTTGCCCGCTCCCTGCCCTGGCTGTTGGTGCCTTCCATGAGCAGCTGGGTCCTTCTGGGAAGGAGTTTTGTAGGGAATACCTGGTTTTTGCACTGGGATATGGTAGAAAGCTGGAAATACCCCGCTGGGTGTTGTCAGAGCTTGTTTGTGGTGTAGGGGAAATGAGTGTTTATACTCCATGAAAGCTTTTCTTTGTTTTTGACCCTTTCTGAGCTCCCCACCCCTCCTGGGGCATCCCCCCAGCGCTGCAAGGGCCGAGTGGGAGCCCCAGTTTGGGTTGTTTGGGTCTGAGTTGGTGGATTTGTTGTCTCTTCCCTGTTATTCCCCGCTGCAGCTCCTGCAAACCGTTCGGTTTTTCCTGTCCAGAACAAGTTTTCCACTGGCTCATCCCCTCCCCCTCTTAATCCTGCAAAACCAGAGAGTTTTCGCTGAGATGTGACTGCTGAGCAGGGCAGACCTGTGGTGTTCTTGTGGTGGCCACCCCGGACCTGCCACATCCAGCAGGGCAAGGAGGACGCTTGGCACTGCCAGAGCCAGGATTGCAAATGCATTTCTCTTAGACAGCACCACTAAATACCCTAAAAAAATCCCAATTTGAGCAGCGAGGCCTCTGCTGAGCGAGCCGGGACAGGTCCGGAGGGAATGAGAGCGGCAGCACAGGAAGGATCCCAGAGCAGGCTGCGAGTCCTGGATTTCCCTGGTGAGCAGGAGTGAAGCAGCTGGCAGATCCCCGTGATTCCTTCCTTTCTTTCTAAGAACACCCACCCTCGGCAGCGAGCGGGGTGCCGTGCCGCAGCGCTGCGGCGCCGGGGCTCGCGGGATGCTCCCGATCCCGGGCCTGCCTGGGGGAGGACGTTTGCATCAGCGCTGCGGGGGCACCCACCTGCTGTGCCCTGCTGCCGAGGGGGTGGCTTCAACCACAGGATGGGGCTAAAAGTGGGCATTTTGGGGGTGGTGGCTCCGCTGATGTCTCAGCGCGTTGCTGCTCTCGCTTCCTTCAGCCGCCGGCGTCCTCGGGGTTGTCCCGTCTGGAGAGAACCCCAGTTCCCAGAATCACAGGTCCCCAGTGCCACTGCCTTCACCTGTGTGGCCCAGTTGGAAGCCAGCAGGCTGGTTCCCCGTGGGGATTCCAGCCCCTCTTGCCTCATCCCTGGAGCCGCGGCACATGCCGGGACCTGCTGCCGCGGATCCCGCTGGGAGCGACGGCGTCGGCGCGGGGGTGATGCTGCTGGTGGAGCTTTTTGGACACCTCTCTTTTGGGGTTTGGGCTGACTGTGTTGTCCTGATCTGAGGCCACTCTCCGTTCCCATGGCAGCCTCCTGTCGTGTTTTGGGGTGCTGACCCTCGTGTGGAAATCGTGGCCCCGAGCTGAGCAGCCCCCGGCAGCTCAAGGGTGCCGGCGGCTCTGCCAAGCTCAGAACACAGGTCATGCTTCCCCTGCTCTCAGTGCTGTAAACATTAACTAATCAATCCTGGTGAAATCCTTTCTTTCTCGTAATTAACTGGGGGTTTTTTTGGGATTGGGGGTAGAAAACCTGGAGCTGTGGCACCTTAAAAGCTTTTCCCTGCTCCCGGCGCTGTGTCTGCCTGCTCCGTGGTGCCCGGCACGTGGCCTGGCTTGTTTGGACTGGGACAGCACAAGGTGGTTTGTCACCTTGGTTGAGTAAACTGCCTTCATT